TTTATTTGTGGTCTTTGTATTAACTTTTCATTTTAATTAATAAACTTTAAAAGCTATTATAACAGCATTGCAAATTTCAAAAATCAAATTATTAAATTTCTCATTCTTCTGAAAATAAGGAAATGCCTATTGTACTACCTGATGACTTTCCTGGAAAGGAAGAAAATAGGGGCTGGAGAGATGGCTCAGAGGTTAAGAGCAAGACCTCTTCCAGAGGTCCTGAGTTCAATTCCCAGCAACCACATGGTGGCTCACAACCATCCGTTATGAGATCTGGTGCCCTCTTCTGGTGTGCAGATATATATAGAAGCAGAATGTTGTATACATATAAATAAAATCTTTAAAAAAAAAAAAGGAAGAAAATATCTGAGAAATTCATCTTAACTCACCTAGAAACATGATGAGAATATGACTGTGTTTCACATTGGTATGCATGTTAAGAGTTATTTATATAATTCTTAAAAATCATGTGAATTTCTATCTGTGCATGGACATGTACATAAGAGTGAGATGCCCCCAGAGAGTAGAGGCATCAGATTCCCCTGGAGTTGCAGACAGGTGTGTCCCTGCCAATGGGTGCCTGAAACTAAACTCACCTCCTCTGAAAGCAGTATACACTCTCCAGGGCATGGTATGCGTGTTTAAAATTACAGAAAACTGTAATAATAGTTAGCACTCCAGAAATGGAGTCATTGCCTTCAATAGTACTAGCCTTCAAGTTTGCCACTATTTACCTGAGTGTTAACATAATGCTGCAGAATGCTGTCTCAGGGACAGACTTTAACAATAAACATCTAATTCTTTGCCCCTGAACTTGAAGCAAAAGTTTCTAATATTCAAAACCAAGGAAATGCTAAAACATTGCTATGTATTATTTATGAAGACTTTCAACTCTGCAGCCTTGTCCCTCACCTGGGCAGTGACAATTGTCACTAGTAAACATGCCACTGCTCTCCTGTCTTTGTCCTTCACAAGTCTCAAATTAAACTCTAGTAGGAAATATCGCTATAAACATAAAATATCTGGCTGGAAATGCAGCTCCAGAGTGCCTAGCACATACAAAGTCCTGGGTTCCATCTACAGTACTACCAACACATAAACAAAAACAAACACATCAAATATTAGAAAACATGACCAGATCAGCTTTGAAATTGTACAATCTGTACTGATCTGTACCTTCAAGAACAGATCTCAAAACATATCTTCCATAAACATAAGGCACCTACACATATTTTGAAGACCAAGATAATAAAAGTTTTCCTTCAGAAAATCCCAGCCACATCCAGCAGTTCTACCACGTTGCTGATGCACTGCTGAAAAATTACTATTATTAGCTAAAAGCAAAGCCGGGGAGTGGAGTGTACTCAACTTCCACATACACACAAACAAGTGCATAGGCAAATTTTATAAACTTCCCACATTTTCAATCATTAAAAAGTGGAAATAATTACAAGCAAATACTTTTCCGAATACTAGCTTGCTTATACAATGCTGTTAAAAACAAAACAACAACAACAAAAAACCTAACAGGAAAAATGTGCAAACATTCTAAAAATAAAACAGAAAAAAAATTCCTCAAAAACACCCAAGAATTATACTAACTAAAGAACACTAGTTACAATTAAAGTGGAACAGAAGTCCAGCATGCAATCAATCATACTAAGTAAATGCAACCAGTGCAAAACAAAAAGAGGCTAAAACATTACAATATGGACAGCAGCCACATTAACAAGAGAGACTAGGGAACAGACAAAGGGAAGGTGTTAGCTAGCATGTTTATTAATATTTGATATTTAATCTAAAAAGAGGGAAATTTTTAGCATTTAGAAACAATAATGTGCCATATCTGCTTTTTATGGTAAAGACCCAAAGCCTACAAAGAAAAGTTAACTTTAATATTTGATATGAAAAAAAATCTCAAAACACCCAACATGCTATTACAATTGACACACATTTAAATAACTATTTACTGTCTTCAAAAAAAAAATTGGTATATGGCAACCAAGAGTCACGACTGCCCAACAATAAAAAAAAAAAAGGAATAAAGGACTCAGCTAGCTTTATCCAAAGCCATTTTGTTATATAATTAGCACATTTTCCTTTCTTCTTAAAATATTTATCTGATGCATGAAGGTATATGTGCACCACAGCAAACATGTAGAGGTCTGAGGACAACTTGCATAAGTCAGTGCATTCTCTCCTTCCACACTGGGTTGTGGGGACTGAACTCGTCATTATGCAACAAGCACCTTTACCCATGGAGCCATCTCTCCAGCTCCTTTCTTTACTGAATGTCTTTAATTAGCTGGCTGAAGGAGTCACTGTTACATATTTTCTAAAGAATCCTCAAGAATTACAGAAACACAAGAAAAATATTCCTCCTCCTCAATATGCTTAACTTATTAACTATACTATGCTCACATCTAATGAAAACAAAACAATTCAAAATACTTAAGACAGCACTTTTCTATAATCTCTAGTTTGTCTCAAACTTTATGATCTTACAGTATAGCCTAAATTCCCTCAAAAATCTTTTTGACCATTTACTCTGAAGTGCTTGCTCCATCTGAATAACTTCAGTATTCATACAGAATTCATTCTGTAATTAATCATATCTTTTGAAGTCTTGTAGTGTGTGCTATTTGGACATGTGGAGTGGAGGACATATGCATGAATATGAACACCCACAGTCTTACAGTGAGCAGGCAGCACTAAGCAGGCCACACACGCGAGTAACAGAACTTTGCTGAACAGAAGGAAGTAGCTGCAGGGGGGAAGAAGGAGAAGGTGACTAAGATAACATCCTCATGAAAGAAAGTGTTTGAGAACCTGGAGGAAGAGAGCAAACAGCCTACTTTAGGAAGGAAAACAGTGTAATAATGTAGCGAAGAACAAGGCAGGCAGAAAGATTTCAATTAGTGGGAGATAAAGTCAGAGAGAAGGGCTCTGGACACTCAGCCTGGCATAGTAGTATACATCTGCCTATAATCCTAGCACTCAGGAGACTGAGGCAGGAAGATGACAGGCCCAGGTCCACTTCTCAATGAAACCATCTTGAAAAAGAAATGTGCTTGAATGCCAAGCCAAGGCATGTAATTCTCACATACTTCATCTATGAAATGAGGCTATTGCTGGGCAGTGATGTGCACATCTTTAATCCCAGGCAGAGGCAGACAGATCTCTGGGAATTAAAGGCTAGTCTAATCTATAAAGAGTTCCAGGACAGCCAGAGCTATTACACAGAGAAACAGCATCTCAAAAAACAAACAAACAAACAAAAGGAGGCTATTAACACCCAACTCATAGGCTGTTCAAAGGCCCAGGGCCATTGCTTTATGGAATAGAGTTCACCTCAAAGTTGCATGGTCCCAAGTACAATCACCAGCAGGGCAAGAAAGAAAGAAAAAGAAAAAAAAAATCAATTGGCTTTAAAATATGGGGTTTTTTTTTCTTTTAGATTTTATTTATTTATTATGTATACAACATTCTGCTTCCATGTATATCTGCACACCAGAGGAGGACACCAGATTTCATGACGGATGTTGTGAGCCACCATGTGGTTGCTGGGAATTGAACTCAGGACCTCTGGAAGAGCAGTCAGTGCTCCTAAACTCTGAGCCATCTCTCTAGCACCCTAAAATGTGGGTTTTTAAAAGAATTAAGTGATATGGTGAATCTAATGCACTTAGCAGAGGTTTATCATGGGATATTATCATTCTCATCTTCTATTTGAAGAGCAGAGACATAATAATTACAGTTTCCTTCAAAATGCAAATATTTGTAATCTGAAAAAAAATCAGTATGTAATCAACAATTCAGTCCTTCAGTGTGCCCTTCCCCCACCCCCAGCAAACAGTAGTCAGAATAAAACCCTTTGTCTTCAGTGACTACCTCACATGGTTATACTAAGACGCTTTAACAAACACATTAAGGAATTCCAGGAATAAGAATTCATGGATAGCCAGGTGGTGGTGGTGCACGCCTTTAAACCCAGCCCTCAGAAGGCAGAGGCAGGCAGATCTCTGTGAGTTTGCAGCCAGCCTGGTCTACAGAGCTAATTCCAAGATAGCCAGGAATACACAGAGAAACCGTGTCTCAAAAAACAAAACAAAACAAAACAAAAAAATGAAAACAACAACAACAAAACCAAAAAAAATTTCATGGATAGATAAAATTAATGAACATAGAAGTGGCCTCTCTCTCTCTCTCTCTCTCTCTCTCTCTCTCTCTCTCTCTCGATAGGATTTCTCTATGTAGCTTTGAAGCCTATCCTGGCACTCACTCTGTAGAACAGGCTAGTCTCAAACTCACAGAGATCTGCCTGCCTCATGCCTCCAGAGTGCTGAGATTAACGGTATGCACTACCACTGCCTGGCTATATTTTTCTTAGTCAAAAATATATAGGGTTTTACTAAACTATAAAGAAGCCTAGGTTAAAATTGTTCCAAAAAGTGACTTGGTGGAAACCGCATCATTCAGTGTTGTCACTTGAGAGTTTTGCTGATCCTTTATGAATATTATGACTCTCCAAAGGCAGCCTCTCTCATATTTTAACCAGCAAACCCTTCCTTTTATCAGGTAGAAGACATACTACTAATACATGATTAGGGTTCCTCGACATTACACATCTAAACAACCCAGCATTAATAATCATCATAAATACTTAACATCGTGTAAATGGATAATATAAGCCTAGAAGACACCTTGAGAATGGTGCTGAAGAAGCAAAACATCTTAAAGTGCACTTAATTAGAATATTTTTAGATTAGCTGGTACTCCTGATATTTTATAACTACACTCAATGGACATGAAACCATTTCATAGTACTTATATCAGAATAACATGTACCTGATGAATAAGGGCACATTTTCTACAGAGCTTTGTCATGTGAGATGCTGAAATCAGCCAAAATTGTCCTCATTACATCAGGAAAACACTACTACAGACAACAGGAAAACATTTCAAACAACATCTAAAGCAGAACAAAAAGAAATTTTTACCTGGGATTTCCTCTTAGTGCAGCGTGATGCAGGGCATTGAACCCGTTGTTGTTGGTGATGGTCACGTCTGCTCCAGCTTCCAAAAGAACAGCCAGGATGTCATCTCGCTTCTTACTTATGGCGTCATGGAGAGGGGTGTCACCTTCAGAATCCTTTATTTTAATTGTTTTAAGTTTAAAGAGATTTTCATTAGTTTTCCTTCCACTGATCACATCAAAAGGGAGATTTTCACTTAACTTGTACACAAAGAAGCAGGCTGTATAACAATCGAACAACTGTCTGACTCTCATGCTTAAGAGTCCTTGTTGGCTTGCTGTTGGGATGGAGGTGGTTATGATGGTGGTGGTGGTGGTGGTTTCTGAGACAGATTCCCACAATGCAGCCTGAGCTGACCTGAAACTGCTCTATATAGTTGAGACTGGCTTTGAACTCCTAATCCTCCTGCCACTACCTTCTGAGTGCTGAGATTACAGGAATGTGCTAACACACCCAACTTTATGCTCTATTAAATATAAAGTGCAGGCAAAAAAGATTAGGGCTGGAGATGTGGCTCTGCTGGGAGAGCACTTACCTAGCGTACACAAAGCCCTGGACACTATCTCCAGCATCACATGAAGCTGCCATGACAATATACACCTGTAACCCTGGCACTTGGGAGGCGAAGGCACAAGGAAGGGAAGTTGAAGGTCATTATTGTCTACCGTGTAATTTCAAAGCCAGCTGGGCTTCAAGAGACCCAGCCTCAAATATAGAAACAAAGAACCTACAGAAGCAGTCTTAGGCCCCAGAACAATGAGTTTAAAGCCAGTGGTTTTTAGCCTTAACTACATAAGTATCAAAAATTCTTCAGTTTCATATATATTAATATAATATACAGCACTGGTAAAATCAACAACCAAAGTACTTTCAAAGGGCAGGAAAATGGCTACTTAGTTCAAAGTAGAAGCATATCTAATCAAAACCTACATTTTCTAAATCTGCTTTTTAAAAAATTGTATCTCTATGTAAGGGGAATGGTGTGTGTGGTGCAAGCAAATGTGCAAGTGTGCACACCCACGAACAAGTCCACGGAGTCCAGAGAAGGACATCAGGCATCTTCCTCCACTCTCCCACTTCATTTAAGGCAGTGTCCCTGATTAAATCAGAAGTTTACTATTTCAGCTGGGTTGTCCGGCCAGTGAGCTTTGGGACCCACTTGTCTCCATCAACCCAAGACTGGGTTTTCAGGCATGTGTAACATGCCCAGCTTTTTGTGTGGATGCAAAATATCTGAACTCATGTCCACTTGCTTGAGTAAGTGCTCTCACTCACTGAGCTATCTCTCCAGTCCCTCAAGCCACCTTTTTTGGGAGGTATTTGTCATTAATCAATTTACTTAGCAATAGATTCTAATTCAATATTAACCGTCTGCATAAGTGAATTATTTAGAGCTTATACAATTTGTAGTTTTACAAAGTCTATATAGACTACCTACCCTCTATCATATACCACAGCTGTCAGATCCAGCTTTCCACCTGTTTTTATAATTTAAATGGTACCACAACATAGCCATACCTATCTACCTATGTATTAGCTATGAATGCCTTATTCTACAAAGGCAGAGTTGAATGGTGTTGAAACAAAACACATAAAAACCTACAGTACCATCTGGCCCTTCAGAGAAAATGTTTTCCAATCACAGGCACCCACCCACACACAAAATATTCCTAACCCAAATTCAATGCAACCACCTTCCTTCTATTTGGTGGCACTAAAAATGTGTAGCTCTCACTTGAGAACTCTTAATGTGCCTGAACACCCTTCCACAGGTCCCTGGTCTGTCCTGCTTTCTGATCCCCACAACAGCTTTGTCAAAGCACAAGTCTGAATAACACTTTGTCTACCCCAATTCCAATTAACATTCCCTACACATAACTTTGCCTCCCATTTCAGACAGAAAGATGGGTAGATCTAATTTCTTCTCCTTCAACTGATCACCCTCAGTTTTTCCTCCATCCTCCAATTCTGCCATTGTGGCTTCTACTTATGAAGCCACATCCTGGACCTCGTCACTTGAGAAAACTTACTTCCTAGTAACCATTTGCTGAGCAGAGCCCGCTGCCGCCTTCTAAAGCTGCTGCTCCGACTACTGCACTCAGAATTCTGTGCTGAGAATCATCCATACCACAGCTTACAAAGTTCATAGTGATTCCCCCTATTGGGTTCTAAGCATTATTGAGTTTTTAATTTAAAGAAACTAGTTCTACATATTCAAATAGTGTTTCAAGGACCACTTTTATTTAAAAACAGTATTTCAAGTCTATTCATCAAGAGAAAGAAAGGCTAGGAAGGAATCTAAACACTGATATACTAATATTTGCTTTGCTATGAAGATAAGTATTCATTCCAAATTTTAGTCTTATATGTATACAAAGGACAGTGTTTAATAACCAAAATAAACACATTATGGACACAGACTATATTTTTCTTACATATGTGGTTTAAGTTCATCTAGTTGCTAAATGAGCTTAGAAAACAATCATTTCATAGGTGAAACTTCTGCTTCAAAAATTAGGCCACTTTCCTTCCTACTGTAAATCAACACAATATATTTTCCAAAACAGACCTAAACAAAGGATCTAGAATAAATGAAGTTATAATGAAAATATTTAAATAGTTATGAAGTAAGTTATTTTACATCAGCCTATATCTTGGGATAGTCTTCATAATAACAAATTTACCACAGAACTTACTATGTCCCTTGAACAATGTTCTACTGATGCCCGCTCAGTTTGTTCCTTACAAATTCTTCC